TGAAAAGTTACTTAAACATTTTTTCTTAATGTTCTAAAATTGTTTGGGCCCCCGTGATGAGGGTGTTTGGGGTGGCCAATAGGGCCACCCCCCAGCTCCGCCACTGGCTGCAGCTGCAGAAGTATCAGCAGCTGACAACAATGACATCACCAGCAGTGATATGAAATGGATGATGTTTCAGGTTTTTGTCCGCTTTAAGGTGGTGGTAAATGTATGCTGTCGCAACAACAACAACAACAACAACAACAACAACAACAACATTCCCATCCCCATTTCCATTTCATTCCCCATCTGGACTAAGCCCCGGATCTCCTACAATCCTAAATCCGCCCCTGATCAGGACTGTTTTAGGCATATGATAGCTATGTGATTACCATGATGATTCAGCCTCTATGGAGATAGACATATGACAAGCATGATCATCATGAACTAAACATTGTATTTTGAGAAAAAAAGTCTGAACTTTGAGATTTTGAAAAAAGCCAACATTTTTTTTTTCTTTCAGAATTTTGAGATTTTCAGAAAAAGTCAGAATTTTGAGATTGTCAGAAAAAGTCAGAATTTTGTATGATTTATAGAATAACCGGCATTCCTCCATCTTGTGACTGTGTAACTCCCTCTCTTGGACATCAGCATGTGAAGGACACTGTTCAGGAACTAGTTGATGCTCTGTATGTGATGACTACTTCCATTCTGGAGAGGATCAGAAATACTTGGATCCTGAGATTGAAGCTCAAGCCGGTGACGAGTGATATTTGTCTAACAGTGACTATGAAGAAAAGATCCTTCTCCGATGTTTTACCTTTCCTTTATTCCGTTATTCCTGTGGTGCAGACCTCGTTACTGCTCACATATTACATTACATTTAGCGGACGCTTTTATCCAAATCAACGTACAATAAGTGCAATAAACCTTAAAGATTCAAACTAAGGACAACGAGAAAAGTGCTCAGTTCAAACTCTTACTTTGCTACTTTATTTACTTTTTGGCAAGGTAAAAGCGAAACGAAAGGAAGATGTCACAATAAAATGCACTTATAAACTACTAACCCAGATTTCCACTGAAACTTTAGAAACCCCAGATTTAACTGGACAAGGTTTTTTCTGGTTTAGGAAGCCTTAGCAACATTTTCTATATCATTTGATACCTTGGGAGAAGGGAGAGATGGGACAATGACATATTTTTGTATGTTCTTAGCAAGTCACGTTTTTATTGACACGTGAAAAGTCTGAAGATGTTATCCTTTGCTCAGATAAAATAGTATTTGTACCTCCATTTTTTCTGTTTCTGTGTCAAATCCGATGACATAAGCTTTGTGACATTAATCTGGGCTTGTTTATATTCCTACTTGGCGTAATGCCCTGTAAAAGGGGGTCACTGTGGCAGGAGAACATCTTAATCATTTTCTCATTCTGCTTTTAACCCACCACATAGTTGTATACAACAAAGAACACCACGGATAATAATATTGTATTAGTAATTTCTTTCCCCCTGCATTTACTCTACTCTGTTTTGCTGAGTAAAGGATTGTGTTGCCAGCAGCCAGGATCTTTCAGGCCTGATGCAACATTGTTACTTAATCGCAGGGTATATCAGAGTCCTCACTGAAGTCAATGGCAAACATCTCAGCGTATATAACTAATGCAGGAAGGTGCATAGGTGGATTATAACAGTGGCAACCTTCACATCTTGTTGTAAAAATAAGCCAATTTATCCTGAAGGTTTATTGTCACTTTCTTTTAAAGATGTTGACTTGAGCAGTGTGCAAGTTTTTCAGATTGAAACGAGTTGGCAACAAGAGAGTGTGTTGAATATCTAAAGGACTTGAATACATTGCTGTTGAAGTAAGCAAGAAAGTGGACTCTAAGTAGAAGCTGTCAAGTATATCTTCATGTGACAATGTCCCCATAAGTTCAGTTGTATTAAAGGTCCCCTATTATACTGTCTTTCATCAATATATTACAGGTATCAGATATATACAGAACATGTCTCTGATTGGCTGAAACACCAAACAGATCATTGCAGCATTACCCATAATCCCCTCTGTTTCAGCCCTGTTTCCAAAGTGCTGATTCTCTGGCAGTTACTTTAGATGAGAATAAGGAGCCCCTCCCCACGCCCCTCTGAGAGATATTTGGTTACAAAGAACACAATGGTGCTCTAGGAGGAGATTCAGGTTGGTTATTGGCTAATGGTTACTCAAGCCAAAACATCGTTATGACATCATAAAGTGGCCAAAATCTGATCAGCTCATTTTCAGACAGGTTTTTATAGAAATGGATCAGGACAAAAAGAGAGAGAATCTTTGTTCCTGAAACTTTCAGAATCTCTTTACACAGAGGGGACACATGTTGATGTAGAAGAGACATGAAGAAGAGGGGACACATGTTGATGTAGAAGAGACATGAAGAAGAGGGGACACATGTTGATGTAGAAGAGACATGAAGAAGAGGGGACACATGTTGATGTATAAAAGACTTGAAAAAGTGGATTTTGCATAATAGGTGACTTTTAATTCTATGCTCCTCCACAGATAGGACTTTGGAGCAGCGTGCCGCGGACCAACTTCACCCAGGAACAATGGACCACTCTGGGCTTCTGTGCTCAAACACACCGTCCGCTTCCTGGAACGGACCTAAGGGCTCCACCTTTTCTCCCGGAGTGTGGAACGAGCCTTACAATTACACTATGAACAAAGGCCCAGCCGTCCCGCCTAAACAGCACAGCATCATCGGATCGTCGGGGGGAAGGTCGCAGGACGGCGTGATGTTCGTGAATTCAGGACAATCAGGAGGGGGCTCACATTCCAGTTCATTCTCGTCCGTGACGATGCCTTCTGGGAGAGGAGGAGGGAATAACATGCCGGGGATTTCACTGGCGGCGGCGATGATGGGGAAGCGAAGCGAGACTGAAGGTGCGGTGGCGGATGGAGGAAGAGGAGGAGGAGGAGGGGGAGGAGGAGGAGGAGTTGGGGAGGGAGCAAGAGGGCGAGAGAGGTCGGCACGTTCAATAGCAGCGGCAAACGCTTTCAAGTTTCGTGAGCGTTCCCTTTCTACGCCCACAGATTCGGATTCTTTCTGCTTTTCAGAAATTGGTTTAGGACAGCCGGACGGGAGCGTCTTGCCGACAGGGAATGGGAATGCTATGGGAATAACAGACCACCAACAACAGCATCATCACTTCCTGGGTTTGGGTGAGAACTATGCGCTCAGATACCCTAGAGGGAGCTCCGAGGACAGCACCAGTACCACAGACACAATCTCCGTCACGGCTTCAGACTACAGCGCCGACGGTCGCTTGCGCCTACGCTCCCGCTCCATCTCGCTTAAGAAATCCAAGCGCAAGCCACCACCCCCTGTGAGGAGCGTCTCTCTAATGAAGAACCTTGGACAAGCTGAGGGGAGAATCCACCACGAAGGCGGACTTTACCGGGGTGGCCGGCCAAAGAGCCTGCACATCCCCAGGGATCTTTTCCCGGATTTCCAGCCAGATTTCCTACTTCCCAGTTCGTCCTGCTCTTCTAAACCAATGATTGTTGAGCGGGATATCGGCCATGGAGGCGCTGATGGACCTCCAAGTCTGGAAGTCCAAGCACCAGAGAGGGAGGGAGATACAGAACTGACCTTCCCCACTCACTGGCAGCTGGGGGACTGGAAGAATGACCCTTACAGGTAGGAAATAAAACAATACTTAAGTTTAGCAGTTTATTTGCCCGGTCCAGATGATCTTCCCGGTTATTGGACCTTCAGTATTCTCTAAGTTTTAATGCTAGAAATGCTCTCCTCTGTTCTCTTTTCTCCCTTCAGGTCTCTTTCAGGCTCAAGCACAGCAACAGGTACCACAGTGATTGAATGTATGAAAGTCAGAGGCAGTTCGGAATCCCTACTTGATTCTCCCTCAACCTCCAGAGCAACATCGCCCTCACAACTCTCCATGGAAACTGACATCAAAGCATTCTCGCCCTTCAAACCCCCAGGACTTATGTCGCCATCAAGTGGCTATTCCAGCCAATCAGAGACTCCCACCCCTACTATTCCACTCAGTCACATGGCAGGTCACGGGACATTAGGGTGTAAGTTGCGTCCGAAGATCCCGGAGAGGAAATCATCTCTTCCGTCGCCCAAGGACCCGTCTGCAAGGTCTAGATTGTCCTTTGAGATGCCTGGGAATGCACATCTAGAGCTGTCATCAATCAGGCCAAAGCCAAAGGCCAGCAGAAGACATTCGGACACCTCGACTGCAGCAAAACCCGGAAAAACCAGCTCCTCACAAGCCTTGCCTGTTGTTACCCAGAATGAACTAAAGACTATTCGACTGCGCTCTGTGTCTCGTGGTGACTTGGAGGACTGCCCTGATGGGGCGTCCGACACCATAGAAGAAGAACAGCATGGCCGTGACTTAGGGGAAGACCCCAGCCCGCCACCCACCCTACCGAAACCCAAACCCCCTGTCGCTGTCAAGCCCCCGTTGCCAAAACGGCCCATAAACCTACTCTTTAAGTCTTCTTCCCCTTCTTCCACTTCCCCCCAAGCTCTCGAATCACCTCCTGGCTCACCTGTGGATCGGCCTGTTCCCCTAGGCAACATCTACAAAGTCATGAGAAAACCCAAACCCAAAAGACCTTCACCACAAGCAACAAGTCCCTCTGTTCCACCAGATTATTCCACTTATGAACATTCATTCCTGCCCCAGTCCCTCTATGACCTCCCTCCTCTTCCGGACCCCCAGCCTCTTCTGGAAGACCCGGCGATGGAGCCCGATTTCGATGTTTACCCAGAGATTCGTCCTGGTCCTGGGGACGGAGGCTCACTCCCATCTCCCTGCAGTAACGAGGAGGGCCCAGAGCTCCAGGACAAGAGCAAGACCCTCCCTTCAAGAATGACAATCTCCTGTCTGTCAGAGCTGTCAGACAAAAAGAAACCCAAGGTGAGGAAGATATCTCTCAGAAAATGCTTTACTTTTCAAGATTCAAGGCTTTATTGTGCACATTAGCTACAGTGTAGATATGGCAATGAAAAACTTAAGTCACAGGGTCCTCCAACAGTGCAACATGAATATACATAGGACATAAAACTGTTACAACAGAAGAAACTGATAAAATAGTGCAAGAGAATGTTTTGAAATGTGCAAGTAAATACAAATAAAATAGAAATAGTGCGAAAAGAGTCTATATACAAGTAAATGAAATATGATATATGTGACCCGCTCTATCGAAATCAGTCGGAAGTCGCAACGGCTCATTTCAAAATAAACTTGGATTTGCGTAAAAAAATAATTCGGGGTTCGGGAGGTTTCTTTGATTTTAAATAAACAAAGTCTTGGCTTTCAGAATATGAAACTTGTATTTCCAAAATCACACGATAAATACATTTTTGAAGCTTGTAAAGGGCCGTCCCCCCTCCCTCCGCTGAATTTATGAATGTAAGGCGCATAGTAATCATAGATAACACGGCAGGGTCCGTGACAGTTTGTTTTCATCTGATTTCAATTAAACAAAGTCTCGGCTTTCAGAATATTAAACTTGTTTCGGCAAATTCAAGTGATAAATACAACTTTGATGCTTGTGACGGCATAATTACAAGTGGAGAACGGAGTAACTTTACGTCTCAGCAGGCATAACAACAGCCGGTGTTTCTCGTGAGGGTTTTCCCCGCGAAACAAACACAATACACACAAACGCAAAAATACACAAACACACACGTATAGAGAGGCGAAGTCACGCCCATCTACTTCCGGTCCATGGGACCCCGGAAGCGAAAAATTATACATTG